AGGTCTTATCTTACTGAGAATGCTAGACTTGCGCCCTCTCCTCCTGGGATCACATGACGATCCTCCACTCTTTACTACATTTCCCAGAATTGTCCTCAACTCCTAGTCCCACCTATCTTGCTTCCCTATTGGCCAACAGTGCTTTATTTATCAACCAATCAGACAAATCAATCAACCATCTACACAGAAGGACTCCCCTCATCAGACAGTTTATGCTGGAGAGGATGTGGAGAAAGGGGAACACTCTTTCAGTGTGGTGGGAGTGCAGAATCATACAGTCACTTTGGAAATCAGTATGGAGGCTCCTCAGGAAAATGGGAATCAGTCTACCATAAGATCCAACAATCCCACTCTTAAGTATATACCCAAAAGATGCACATTCATATAACAAGGACATCTGTTCAACCATGTTCATAGCAGCATTATTTGCAATAGCCAGAACCTGGAAGCCACCACGATGCCCCTAAACTGAAGAATGGACTGAGAAAATGTAGTATATTAACACAATGGAGTACTACTCAGCAGGAAAAAACAATGGAATCTTGAAATTCGAAGGCAAATGGATGGCATTAGAAAAAACCATCCTGAGTGAGGTAACTCAGTCATAAAAAGCCAAACATGTACTCACTCATATATATAGACATAGAGAAAAGGATTACCAGCCTACAACCCACACCTCCAAAGAAGCTAGAAAACAAGGAGAACCCTAAGAGAGACATACATGGTCCCCTGGAGAAGGTGAAAAAGACAAGATCTCCTGAGCTAATTGGGAGCATGGGGGGAGGGGAGAGGGAGGTAGGAGAAAGAGAAGGGGAGAAGAGGAGGGGAGCAGAGGGGAGAGGAGGACATGAGGGCCTGGGAAGATTGGGTCAGGGGAAGAATAGAGGAGAGCAAGAAAAGAGATACCTTAATAGAGTGAGCCATTATAGGTTCAAAGATAAATCTGGCACTAGGGAACTGTCGGGAGATATACAAGGATGACAACAACTAAGATTCTAAGCAATAGGAAAGAGTCTGTCCTAAATGCCATTCCCCTGTAATGAGATTGATGATTACCTTATATGCCATATTAGAGCCTTAATCCAGTAGCTGATGGAAGCAGAAGCAGACACCCACAGCTAAGCACTGAGCCAAATTCCTAGAATCCAGTTGTAGAGAGGGAGGAGTGATGAGCCAAAGGGTCAAGACCAGGCTGGGGAAACCCACAGAAACAGCTGACATGAACAAGGGGGAGCTCATGGACCTCAGACTGACAGCTTGGAAACCAGCAGAGAACAGAACCAGGCCCCCTGAAAGTGGGTGTCAGTTAGGAGACCTGGGCAGTCTGTGGGGCCTCTGGTAGTTGAACAGTATTTATACCTAATGTGTGAATGGGATTTGGAGTCCATTCCACATAGAGGGATACTCTCTCAGCCTAGACACATGGGGGAGGGCCTAGGTCCTGCTCCAAATGATGTGACAGACTTTGATGATCCCCCATAGAAGGCCACACCCTCCCTGGGGAGCAGAAGAAGGATGGGATGGGAGTGGGTGGGGGGACATGGGAGGATGAGAGGAAGAGGGAACTGGGATTAATATATAAAATAAGATGTTTAGGGGGAAAGAAATAAATAATAAAATTTAATTCATAATGAGCAAAAAACAAAAAGAATGATATGTTGCTATGAGTAGTGCAATGAAATCTGTGCTACTTTGTTCTGCTTGGGGATATTGAATCAATTGGTCCATTGACCAGTGGAGAGTGACAGAATTCTACCTCTGTCCTCTACGGGTGCATGTATGGGTGGGTACACAGGGGCACACACACACACACACACACACACACACACACACACATACACAGAGCATTAGTTGAACAATAGTAGTAGGGTGACAGTATTGATTGTGATTGTTGTAATATTGACATTTATTTTATTAAACCCTTCTGTCAGTTGGCTAGAGTTTAGAGGTCTTATCAGATACGATAACAAATAACAAAGAACAGGAGGGTTTTTTTAGTTTAGAGAGTGGGTATGAATGAATAAAATTGAGAGCTATGGTGTGTCTTGGTGACTGCCAACTCCAGAATCTGAGTCTGGAAGTAAGCAGGGCGGGGTGGGGGTGAAGAAACACACGCATAGAAGAGCTTAAGGAGCAATGGAAATACTGGCTATAGAGACAATGGAAAAGGACAGTGGTGGAGCTTGGGGAAGGGATGCTCACATCAGTACCTATGCCCTTCAGGAAGCTGGTATGAGAATCGTTTTATTGGGTGGGAAGTATGTTGAGAGAGGTGTTCTCAGAAGGCTGGAAGCGTAAGGTGCACAGTGTCATCTGTAGACAGAGCCTGTCACCCATATAGCTTAGAACGAGTATGCCAAGGGTTTTGCTGGTGGCCGCTGAGAGGCCCTGGTGAGCTGTGCTCCTAGCCCCATAGCCTTACATGCTTGTGTCTCCAGCCCACAGGGAGGGGGAGGAGGTGGAAAATCCCTCCCCCTGCACAGAGGAATTATTAAAGCCACCTGCCGCTGGAGGCAGAGGCAGGCAGATCTCTGTGAGTTCGAGGCCAGCCTGGTCTACAGAGCGAGTGCCAGGATAGGCTCCAAAGCTACACAGAGAAACCCTGTCTAGAAAAAAAAAGCCTGCAACTCATAGAAATAGCCATCAAAACTGATTCATCACTTTTCACTCCCAGTGTTTCATTTCTTGATTACTATCAGAGGCCATGAGTCATGGGAGAAAACTTCAGGGTAGTGATATAGTGATCTTGGAAAATGACAACCTGCAATGATGGAACTTTAAATATAGACAATGTTAACAAAACAACAAGAGGAAGAAAAAGGAGCCAAAGTTCTAAAATGTTTTTATATGAAAGAAAGAACTGACAGGATTTTCTTGCAATTTGATAAATGTCATATGCTTCTATCCCAGTGGTACGCACCATAGTAGACAGATGAGCTGGGTTAGGGACAATCCTAAGCAGGGATCCCTGGGCGAGCCAAAGGCACAACTTGGGGTGCAATATACAGTGATAAATTTAGGCACAGTATTAGCAGCCACAAGTGAATACATCCAGGTTATGGCAGTCTATAAGGACAGTGTCTGACTAGGATGCTCTTGGCAGGTAAAGTTTATATTCCTCCCTTTTTTCCTTATCTACAAACTAGTGCTCAGTAGACCTCAGTGAAAACCATGAAGGGACAGCCATGGGAAAAACCAGCCACAAGAAAATCAACTACAGGTCAGAGGTTCCTAACTTGAGAATCTGAAATCCAAAAGGGTCCAGAACTCTCAATTATTTTGAGCTCTGATGTAATGTCACAAGTGCAAAACTCTATTCCTGACCTCACTTGATTGGTCATAGTAAAAAATGCAGGTGCAGTGAATATATAAGCAAGAAATAAAAAATTATCTTTATGCTGTGAGTATATATACAAGAAATATAAGTGAATTTTGATGCTTGGCTATCTTTATCAAAAATATCTTATTCTGTATATGCAAATGTTTTTTTAATTTAAACTTTAGTTGGGTGGTGGTGATACATACCTTTAACCCATCACTTGGGAGGCAGGGGCAGAGGGATCTCTGAGGTCAAGTCCAGCCTGGGCTACAGAGTTCCAGGATGGCCAGGGCTATAAAGAAAAAACCCTACCTCAAAGAAGAAAGAAAGAAGGAAAGGAAGAAAGAAGGAAGAAAAGAAATGGAAAGAAAGAAGTCCAAACTCCAAAACACATCAAGTCTAAGTATTTCAAGTCAGGAACATTCAATGTGTGGCAGGCAATGTTTCAACCACCACTACCTTTCACAGCCCACATGGAAGTCAGAGCACAACGTGTGAGAATTGTATCTGTCTGCCCACCATGCAGGTCCCAGGGTCTGAACCAAGGTCATCAGGCTTGACAACAAGCACCTTTTCCCATAGAGTCGATAGTCGCACTTTTACTGCATGTTAAACTACCAATGGAACCTAATGCTTTGATGGTGAAGGCTTGACAGGTGTCATCTAAAATCAGCAGTGCGTGTACTCTCCTCAGGGAGAGTGTGACTCAGGTGTGCAGGTCCCATGGTACAGTCACTAATGCTCTCAATCGTTCAGTGACATTGAGGAGAAAGAAAGAAGCACGAATACATGTGCAGACTTGGGCAGAAGCAACAAATGCACATGGGAAACTTTAAAATATTTTTAGCCAGGCAAAAAGCCAATTTTGTCATTTTTAGGAGTATATTAGAAGCACCAAGTTTTTTCAGATGCCAAGAGGCGAGCGTTAGATTGGAGATGCCATTACATTGTGACATAAAATTCTCTCATCTGCTCCTGCCTTTGTGCCAGCAGGCACGGTAATCCTAACAACTTCAAAGTTTTAAATGTGAGACTTTCCAGACTAGAATTCTGCTCTCACATAGTAAAAATTCTTAATGAGAATTCCTAATGAGAATTTTTCTTCCTAGACACACAAGGGAGTTTAATTTTTATTCATGCTTCCTTTTTAACAAAAATCTTTCCCGTAGCCAGAATTCCTATCTTCTTCCCAAGCGTGCAGAGTGACTTCCATCCAGCGCTGGCCTGGCAAAATTACTGACTCTTTCGTGCAAGCAGCAGCTTCCTTGTGTGCTACAAGCCCAGTTTCAAGCAAGTAATCCCAACAGTCCTGTAGTGACTTCATCAAACACTGATTTACTGAGAAACAAGGTTAGCTGTTCACTAGCAGGTCGGGCAAGTTCCGTGACAAAGCGCATTGTTATTAATCCTTATATTGTTTTAAAAGTTTCATTCCCCCGCCCCTTCACAACAACTGAAGCCTACTACTGCAGGTAGCCCTACCTCTGCTCTCTCCTCCCCCGAACCTACATAAGGAACTTCTACAAGCACAAATGTTTCTTAGAGCCCCAGAGTTCTTTAAATACGGTCGAGTCTAGGAGGTGGAGCCCCAGAGTCTACCGCTGGCACCTCTGAGAAAAACCTCTACCCTGCATCTGCACCCGCATCTCCTGCAAGTTCTCATTGGAAAGCTGGTACTCACTTTTATCCCAGAGAAAGGGAGAAACACTTAAGACCAGCAATGTGACTCTGAAAATCCCGAATTCCGGCCCAAGCGTTTCTCCTCAACGGCTTTGGTTTCAGGAAGTGGGGAATGTGAAATGAAAAAGCCCTTACTGGCTCAGAACCTGCTTGTGTAACTCCACCACAGGATACGCCCCTTTGGTGGCTGCTGCCTGGAAACGTCTGCTGGGAGTTGTGTTACTGTGGCTGGCACCTTCTGCCAGAAAAACCCCAGCTTCTTCCTCCAGTGCAAATAAACATGCTGATACACGAGCCTGTGTGACTCCTAGTTGTCTGCGCTCTAACTCCGAGACGGAGCACAGAAATGAGACTACTAGAGCTTGTCTTTGGATGACGTCAACACAGTGTCATCGTTGGTGATATCTCATTGGCGATCTGTTTTTTTACTCTTGGGTGACTGACTCCCTTCTGTCCAAGTCCAAATAAGGAGCTTCCCTGCAGTTTCCCAACAGAAAGAACATGTCTGCTGACTCGTTTGTCCTTCGATGAAGCAAATGAAATTTGTGACTCAAGTGTTGACAAAAGCATGTCAAGAATGTATGCGAAGATGATAAGGCGTTTATCAAAATATATTTTACTGAAAAAGATGAAGCGATCAACGATATTTTAACTTTCTCAATTCTTTCTGTTGAGTCTGCTTTGGTGAAAAGGTTTAGAGTAAATAAAAAATGGATTTTATTAATAGAAACCTGCTGGGTTTGGGTAATCCTTTGGCATACAACCCCAAAAATGAGAAAGTGAATGGCTCCCTACCTGTGCAGCGAATAATACGGTCAGTTGGCTAGATTCCAACTTTTCTACCCAATAAGTGGAAGGAAAGAATCAAACAGTCAAAAACTAGTTTGCCTAAAAACTAACTTATGATAAACAATAATTCTTCATATATGACTTTAGAAGTTGTTTAAGCAGCCAGGCAGTGGTGGTGCACATCTTTAATACCAACACTCCAGAGGCAGAGGCCATCGGATCTCTGTGGGTTCAAGGCCAGCCTGGTCTACATGGTGAGTTCCAGGATGGCTAGGGCTACATACTGAGGCCATGTCTCAAAAAACAAACAAACAGAAAAGAAGTTGCTCAAGCGAGGTACACAGAATTGCTATAACAAAACTTTCCATGCGTTTATTTAAGAGTTTCCTTTTTATGTATGTACTTTCATGGAACGTGCTTTATTGTAGCTTTATGTAATATGTATCTGTTAACTAATTTATTAAGCCATAAATCTCATTGAGAAATGCACTCTTAAATAGTACTCTATTATTTGTTAATCAGATGTATAACTTTGTATTTGTCTTTTAAATCAATTACAAGATAAAAATATAAGTATTGTAAGTATTGTAAATACATAAGTCTTTAAAGCATGTATTCAATAATGTCTGTAGCAAAGAAGAGAAATAGTTTTAATTTATGCATGTTTTAATTGCATGCAAATAATGAAAACTTAAAGATATATAGCTTTATATTACAAGAAAAGTCTATGAAGGAAATGGAACAGAAATAGAAACATAGAGAGACGAAGGAATAATATAAAATTTTCAGTCATTTAAAAAAGACTTCATGCCTTTATAGAGAGATGTTAGGGAGTGCCATATCATTTGATATATAATTTTGTTTGGCCCTTAAAATAATTTGCATGGGCCTGGTGGCACACACCTTTAATCTCAGAACTTATGAAGCAGAAGCAAGTGAATAATTGTGAGTTGAAGGCCAGCCTGATATCCTGGTATACAAAGCGAGTTCCAGGCCAACGAGGGCCACATAGTGAGTGAGACCTTGTCTCAAGGAGAGTGGGGAAAAAAGAGAAGAAGAATATGTAGGGTTTTGTTAGGAAAACCACACAGAAATCTTTTGAAATTATTTAAAGTTATAATAAAAGATTAACATCAACTTCAATATGTTCCTCTTTTGTAGAACCATGGCTGGGGACATGTGAGAAAAAAAGTTAGGATTATTTGGGAAGGAGTGAAATTTTAGTGCCTGAAAGAAGGCAATGGAAACATGGAAATATAAGAAGATACAAACAAAAGAGAAGAAGACAGTGGCTGATTCATTTATCTTCATAGAATTTGGACAATGGCCACATCTGTCGCTGATAAGGATTCCTGGCAAAATTCTCAGAGTCATAGATACATGAAATGCAATGTTTTCTTTTTTAATCATAGTGTTGAGCACCAGAAATTTTTCCAAGATAACAGTTATTAGTAGAAATTTAACAGTGAAACATTCACTTATTGTAAATGTCTGAGGTGTACACTATAAAGGAAGTACATTATTACATACTTAGAAAAAGTGGCTACCCTACCACACTCATCTAGGCTTTATTGTTTTGAATATAAAATGCTGAAACAAACTGATGTCCCTCAGTTATTTGTATAACATGATAGAAATGTCTGGTTTATGCCAAGTGCTGCCTTGGAGCTGTGGGTGCTGACGGTGCATACAAGCAATACCCTCAGGGCCCATGGTGCCAGGTGGGTACAGGAGGATGGACCTAAGAATTAGCTGGCTATATGGGCAGGAGTTAGCATACACAAAGAGTACTTTATGCTTCATCATAATTAGTATGCACTTTTATGTATACTTGAAAACACTGGCAGATCTGGGAAAACTTTCAGGTATCTAATAAAAAAGAATACATTTTAGAAACAAAACTTTGAGTAGATGATGGGGGAAGTCCTTCTGTGTATTTGTTTGTCTGATTGGTTGATAAATAAAGCATTGTTGGCCAATAGGGAAGCAAGATAGGTAGGACTAGGAGTCGAGGAGGATTCTGGGAAATGTAGAAAAGGGTAGAGTCACCATGTGATCTTGGAAGAGAGGACGCATGAGGCTGCGTTCCCAGTAAGATAAGACCTTATAAAAATATATATTAGTAATTATGGGTCAATAATTAAGTTGGAGCTGGCCATTAAGAAACCAAAGCAAACAGCCAATGGCTTCATAATTAATATAGTGTCTCGTGTGTTATTTGGGGACTGAGACAGCAGTGGGACACAGACAGCTGGCGGGAAGAAATCACGGTACAAGTAGAAAAATTGGACTGTGGAATATGGTTTCAATCAAGAAACTGAATTCCAAAACTACTGTCATATTCTAGACATAGCTGGTGGCTGGTGCTAATGTGTCTAAAACTTATGTTTTCACAAACTCAAAGGAATCTTATAAATTTCAGGGAGCAGACTTGGACCCACCCAAACAAGTCAGATTCACTACAGATAAATGTTTTTAACCTTTCCCTGGTCCCAGGACTCTCTTCCCTCATCTTGGGACACCCTGGGGAACTTCTCCCTCATTTTATGATCCTCCTCACCTCAAGTACGACCAGGACCTAAGAAAATATCTTTTTCCTAAACTTAACCTTGTCATCTACTCTGCCAACATCTTGCCAGGTCTAAGAGGTGCCAGAGAGTTCCATACAGTCTGGGCTGCGATGAAACAACCAGATACCCCAGGACATGGCAGCACCCCAGCTTTCTCAGGTCCCCCAAAGATGGTCAATGCCCCCCCATGTCAGCAGGAAGTTGTCTTGAGAACTTGATGCCCTTATTCCCTAACCTGCCACACCTAACTCCTCACCTTTTTAATAATAAATAAAGGTGGGAATATAAGGATTCAGGCATTAAGCTGGCCTGCCTCTGTCACCTGGCAGAATGCAGTCAGGCAGTACCCTGGTCAACCCAGAGTTCCATGAGTACTAGTCTACAGGCAGACTCAAAGGACCCCTTTAAAAGAAAGACCCCCGCCCACTTACGCTCTCTTTCTCACTCTCTACTATCTTTCCCCACAGTTCCCCTGGGGCAGACAGGGCTTTTCCTATCTCTTCTTCTCTTCTATCCTCTCTCAGTGTCTCTGTATCTCTTTACCTCCTTTCTATTTCCTTCCCCCTTTTCTCCCCTTTCTAATAAAATTTCTCACTTAAGCTCTGCCTTCCTGGCATGCTTGTTCCTCCATCTCAGTAACCCTCACCTGCTATGGAATCTGCCAAGGTCCCCCACTAGCTTTATCATAACAGCTGGGCTCAGTTAATCTTGGTAACGGTGGAAATACACACACCAGACAGCAATCAGGAGTAAATGATTTAGAGATAAGTGAAAAAAGAACTGGAGTTAGAGATGAGCAAGGGGATGGACAAGAGAAAAGAAAGGTTATCAGTAAGATAAATACAATACTAGGATGTGGATGACTGTTCATCCTCCTCCCCTTTTCCTCCTTCTCTTCCTCTTTTTCCTTCTCTTCTTCCTCCTCCTCCTTCTCTTCCTCCTCCTCCTCTTCCTCCTCCGCCCCCCCAGTCTTGTTCTGAGAATCAAATCCGGTGCTTGACATATATTTAACAAGCCACTATCATTGAACCAGACCATAAACTAGGATTTATGGAGAAAAAGAGGGATTTGATCTACAAAGAACTTGGGGAAAGAATTCCAAAATGGCAGCGAGAAAAAAAAGTATGTACCTCATATCAGACAAAACCAGCAACAATTATATGTAGTTCCTCTTCAAAAGTTGTTTGGTTGAGAATTTCAGCAAGGTGACAACAGAATCAATCAGGTCATGCACTTGATACTAGTCCTGCCTGAATGCCAGGTGGACAGGAGAGGTGATGGCAGACATATTCCTGAGAGTTCTATATCTGGATCTGCAGGCAGAGAAAGAGAGAGACATTGGGACTGACTTGGGTTTCTGAAACCCCAAAGTCTACCCCAAGTGCACTTTCTCCAATAATGCCATACCTAATCCAATAAGGCTAAACCTCCTGATCCTTCTCAAGTAGTGTCATTGCCTGGTGGCCAACCATTTTAATATGTGAGCCCTTGAAGGTCATTCTTATTCAAACCACCCCATTTCCACTCCCTAGTCCCCAGAGCCTTGTAGCCATATCATAATACAAAAAATGCATTCAGTCCAACTTCAAAAGTCCCCACAGTCTATAATGGTCTCAACACTGCTTAAAAGTACTAAGCTCAAAGTATCTTTCTGAGATACAAGTGTTCTTTACTTCATTGACTGCCACATATTTCTCTCTCTTGAGCTGTTTCCACACTGGGTCTGCAGCTCTCTTTGGTAGATACCTCACAATTCTGGAATCCCCAATGTCTTGGAGTCTCCAACACAATCCAAGCTTCACCTTCACAGCTTTACACAATGGCCTCTCTGGGCTTCTATTCAGGGACACACCAGCAACACTTAGCCTCAGTGGCTTTCCTTAGCCACAGAGGGAGATTCCACAACCCCTTTCTTGTAGTCTTAACTTTAAAAACAGAACCACTTGACCAAAGTTTCTAGGTGTGGTAGTTAGAAATCAAATGGAACCTGTATCATGATGATTGGTAGAGATGATGGGTAGACCATTACAGTGAGACAACATCAACTGAATAGCAGAGTCTTGACAAAATTTTACTTAATTTTTAAACAGGAGTAGAACGTGTGTGTGTGTTTCAGATTGTTGAAGGACTGATAGAAATGTGTTGGATTGTGGACATTTAATGCCATTTTCAAACTAAATACTAAGTCACATTATGATGGGACACCCCTTCCTTTTGTATTAAGAACATATATGGTATTGCTCACTTTTGTTTTGACTTAGTATACGACTCAGGCCTGGCTCTTGCAGTATCCACTTCCCTAAAGAGCTCAGCTCAGCCTCAGTGCACTTCCTATGAACCCCACATCACTCTTTGATTCAGCCACAGGAGACTAAGTGTAAAAGTGAGCTGAGGCCTTCACTAACTCCTTGGGGAAGGAGTTTAGCCTCGGGCGTAAAGGATGTTGGCGGCCACACACATCTCTGAGTTCAAGAAGCCTCACTCCTTAAGATCATCTTGACAAAAAGATGAATTCGTGGGCTGGAGAGAGGGCTCAGCCGTTAAAGGCTAGGTTCACAACTCCCTGCCCCCCCCAACAAAGCGAAGACAAAGCTCTGCTGCCTTTTCAAAAAGGAAGCCACAGAACTGGGCAAGGTGTCCCATACCTGTAAGCACTGAGGAGACTGTGGCAGCAAAAGCATGAATTTGAGGCCAAACCGGGCTGTACAGGAGACCTTTATTCCTTTTAAGGAAACTGTAGAAGAAGAGAACGTGGAGTAGAAGAGAGGAGGAGGAGGAGAGGAGGAGGAGGAGGAGGAGGAGGAGAGGGTGGGCGTGGAAGGAAGAGGAAGAGGAAATGAAACATGAGTTCCAACAGCCATGTTCCTAGCAGATTAAGGAAAAATATTTTCAAGACTCTCATGCAATATATTTTGATATTTTTTCTATTCTCCCTGTTCAGCGGATTTGTAAGGGCCAAACATTCAGGGCTGCGCCTTTCTCCAAGCTAACAAACGTGACTCTGCTTAAGATTTGACTTTGAATAAAAATAAAGCAAAATCTGAAGTAACTTTGTGAAATAATCTCATTTAAAAACTGTTTTTAATGGTCTTATAGGAAGGGACAACAATAAGGCACAATCAGAAAAGACTGCCTGCCTAATCCTGGGAATGAGTGACTTGAGGTTACTTATTTTGTGCATGTCCCCTGGGGATCTTCAGGGGATTCAACAAACTGAAATTACAGAAACAAGTGGGCACATTTCTTTTTGGCTCTTGTCTGAGTCAAGGTTTCAGACTCATTTTGGGTCTTCTGTCACTTGTCAAGAAGTCTGGCAAGCTGAGATGACTGGAATGACCATATTGTAACTACATGGAAGGAGATAAGCACTGGCCAGTAACTGCAGCCACAATGAAATATCCCTCAGTCCCCAAGCAATAGAAGCTCCGAGGTATACACGCTTGCCTGATTCTTGTTGCTCACAAACTCATTTTCAGTTTTAAGACCATTATTTTATTTATTTGTTTGTCTTGTTTTTGTTTTTTTCTAGACAGGGTTTCTCTATGTAGCTTTTGAGCCTGTCCTGGAACTCACTCTGTAGATCAGGCAGGCCTTGGACTCACAGAGATCCCCCTGTCTCTGCCTCCCAAGTGCTGGAAATAAAGGCATGGACCACCACCAGTTGTCAGAGGGAAACAATTGTGACTGGAATTAGATTCTAATGTCAAACTGCATGCTTATTTAAAGTCAAATGCTGGATCAACCAAGTCAGTCAGTTCAGGGAAGCTAAAAGAATGTGCTCTAGTGTCCTGAATTTTCACCTGCATCCCTATCAGTGTTAGCAATAGCCCCTGTTTATATATTAATGGTATTAAGTAAAGGTTTCCATACCTGTGTGTAATGCCCTTTGATGGAATTCACTAATTTACTGCTCTTACTTACTCTCCCTATTTTTTTAAACATTTTCTTTGACTTACCCTTAAGGATTAAGGAGTTTGGTGTGATGGGGTAGGTTCATAATGCCAGCACTCAAGAAGCTGAGGCAGGAGGAAATTGAATGTAGCCTGAGCTACGTGACAAGATAATGTCTAAAAATAAAACCAGCAACAACAAAAAGATAGGAGAGCAGAAACTCCACTTTTTACATTCTTTTATTGTATGAGTTTACTTGGCCCAATCAAGCTGGCCATGTCTTATCTTCCTTTGGTATTGCTCAACGGAAAGAAGAAATTACGGCTGTCTCTTTTTCCAAGGGGGAAAAAAAAACATGTTGATAATTAACAAAATTACAGCCCTTACCGGAATCTGCCTCACTTAAATGCAGACTTCCTTGCCCACCCTTCGTTTCTCAACTGAATTTGGAAAAAAAAAAAAAAGCCCTCTAGTAGACCGCTAACAGAGTCCACATCATTTTTATTGCCAGAGAGAAAGACCTACAACTAGGCGCTTCCCCTGAAATTGAGGAAAGAGTCCAGACAAATAAATGGCTCCCATGGGATGACTCTGAACTGCTATGCGGGTTACCAAGCCCGGAGGACCACCTTCCGCTACATCTTCAGTCTCTCCGGTGTTCTCCCTCCACTCCTTTCTCCCTGTACAGAATCCCACTGTGACCCATCTCCACACCTGCCTTCTGGTCTTCCCATCCCAACCTCCTGGAACTTTGGAAAGTGGTGCTCCCCCTCTCACCATCCATTCAGTCCTGTGTTGGATGAGGAAGGGATGGTCAGCCAGAAGTGACAGGTGAAGAATCTTACGGACTGCTCATGCGCAGGATGGCAACATCCCGAGGCAGGTTCCAACCCTGTCTCCACTGTGTCTGGACTCTTACCCACTCCGCTCTCCTGGGGTTTGAGCATCTGCAGAGAGGAGTCAGATGGTTCCCGGAGGTCAGAGAGCAGGCACACATCCTGACAGTCCTAACTATTCCTCCAACTCTCTGCCGGTCCCCCATCCCACCCCATCCCACGTCAGCCCTTAACCTGGAAGGGACCCAGTTCACTTGTCAAAGTCTAGCTCCCGGGTCACATGTCGTCTAGAGCAGCCTCTTGCTGGAGAAGGTGCAGTCACCCGGGTGTCCTGCTCCTCAAACCGGGTCAGGAGACTTCAGAAAGGCTTCAGGGGGCAGGGCTTCCTGTGGGAAGGAGCCTGGAGGACGGTGGTGGCCTCCTGGCTGGCTTTGCGGGCTTCCTGTCCGGCGAGGGCTTTGCCGAGGTCACCCGTGGGAGGCCGCTCCTGGTGCGCGCGTGGGAGGCTCCGTGGCGACGGAGGATCGGCGGCGACCGGCGGGTTCGGCGAGCTCGCACAGCGGTGGCAGGGACGGTCCCCCCACCAGGCCGCATCCTGCCGCCTCCACCAGAAGCTCAGCAAGGCTCACGGACCTTCAATTCCCCAGGTATCTGTAGGTCAGCAACTTGGGGTGAGGTTTTGGGGTGAGGGTGAGGACTGTCGCTAGCTTTTTCTTTTTCCTCCTCCGAGAAAGAGGGCAGCTTTGTCAAAAGTTTTCAGGGTGTTATCATCTGCCGACCCTCCATAGCTTGGTTTACAGGCAGACGTGCACTATATAATAAGGAAATTTTTAAACATTATAGACAGCTCGATCCCAGATTTATAAAACATGTGATCTTTATTAAACAAGGGGAGGGCCCGAGTAATACTGGGAGGGCGGGGGATGTGTTAGGTGCAAAGCAGCATCGACACCTCAGCTACACACACAGAACAAAGTGCTCCTCTCTGACCACTATGTCCTGTGGAACCAGTGAAGTGCCACCGGCTGTTCTTTTGCAAACTTTTTATCTAATCGGAAACCAGAAAAAGAATGCCGGTTGTGCATTCTGGCTCACGAGCCGACATCCTGGTCGCCCGCCGCTCGCGCTGTCATTGAACTAGGGAGACTTTCCCGCCAGCCCAAGTCTCCCGGGAGAGCCGGTCTGGGTGCACAAGGTTCATCCAGACCCACCTCCCAGCTGCAGACGGATCACGAGAAAGTCAGCCACTGTCCTGTTCCGGGACTTTCCCGGGCTTTCTAATCAGAAGGAACTTCCGGGTGCTGGGGGAGGCTCCGCAGGGAGTTGGAATTGGCGGGTGGGCAGAGCCAGAGACTGAGGAGCCAGGACGTGAAAAGCACGGGGCTCGCCCGACGCTCTCCACTCTTGGTGCTTGCTTTCCCTCGCTCTCTGTGCAAGACTGGAAACCAAAAAGGCTGCTGACTCTGCACAGCAGGTCTGCTTAGGCGTAAAACTCGCGTACAGATGTCTTGTAAGCCGCCCCGCGGGGCCATGGCAACTGAGGGAGTTGGGCAAGAAGATCGTTTTTCTGTCTTTTGTTCCTTCCAAGTTTCTCTTCCCCTTCTACCATCTCAGTTTCGGGTGTTTGTCTGGGAGAAAAGCTTTTGTTGAAAATAGAAATGTCCTTCTGGCAATCATATTTCTCTCTTAGAGACTAAGAGCTGGAGCAGAGGGAGGTGAGGGTGAACGTTTTAGGAGGAGACCCTTCCCCAGCTCACCATTGAGAGGGACTTCCATTTACAGCTAGAATTGTTTTAAACAAGACAAAACCAACTCTCAAAACCCGAGGAACCTTAATGGCACGCGTGACCAACCCCCCCCCAGGGGAGGGGGACGCGCAAACTTCCTGTTAAACTGTTTGTCCACCTGGTTCGTTGTAGTAAAAACATCACTCTGCATTCGTGGCATTTGGAACCAATCAACCTTCAGCAAAAGCAGAGCCTGGGGTCTGTCACTGGTTCCACAGGACATAGAGGTCAGAGAGGAGCACTTTGTTCTGTGTGTGTAGTCGGGGTGTCGCTGCTGCTTTGCACCTAACACAACTACACATATCTCTCTCCCCACCCCACCCCCAGGAGAAGGCTCCGGAGTCCTGATCTAGCTGGCCGTGGCACGGGAAGGCTCTCAAGGTGAGTGTGTGCCTCTTGGGATGCGGCATGCATCCCAACACTGAGTCTGGAGTGCCAGGCCCATGCCTTTGGCTCACGCCTGTTAGCAGAACTTGCTTTTCATTTCATCTTATGCATCCGCTTATCGTATAAAAGTTTCTCTGTTGACAGTTATCATTGTTGGTCAGATGCTAGTGTTTTACAACTTTGTGGCATCAGATAACAGTAATGCTCTATTGCTAGTGATACTTTAGCATCTCTAATTTCATTTTATTCCACAAAAAAGATGACTTGTGGTTATTTTTAAAGGAAAAACATTTCTTAGTGAGCATGGTGTCAGATTCCAAAGGTGCAGGGTGTGAGGTGAGAAATGTCTCTCCTGCCCCTAGCCCTTGGTTTCCCTTTTCTTAGACAAACACTGTTACCACTGGATAGCCTCTTGGCCTTCTGTGTATTTGGTAATTTAAAATTAGCAGAGTTCAAAAACTTTTTTTTCTGAGCCTCCTCCTCCTCTTAAATTTGTCATTTTAGTAGTTTGTTTCTGTCTTTCTACTGAATACTGACGTGTTAAAGAATCAAGCTACTTTGTAGAGGGACCATGGGCTTCTGGGAATTAACAGATTAGTTGGTCCTTTTTGTGACTCCCTGAATGACCTGCACGGCTGCCAGTGAATGGTAGGCCTGTGCTCACTCTCACATGCAGGCGTAAGGGCGACTGGCATTTGTGCAAAGCTGATGTTTTGGACCACATCCTCCTATGAGGCCCTCCAGCAGCACTTCCCTCTCTGACAATGGTGTCTAGGTTGGCATCTTGCTGACAGCAACACACATAATTCTGAGTGCCCCCCCCCCCTGTTTCTATAGCTTGCAAAGGATAACTGTTAGCCCCAGAAGGGAGGCAGTTTGCCGAGTGATAAGAGACAGTGCATTACAGTTTGGATCCTGGCTTTGGCTCCTTTTTATTTTGTATACCTGAAACCATTCTTTAAATTCTGTCTAACTCCCTCACCTGTAAAGGGGCAATCTGTAGAACTATTTTGAAGATTAACTGAGATGGTACAAGTATAGGACTCAGTACCGTGCTTAGCATATGAAAGGAGCCATATCATGAGTAGAAGTTCTTCTAACTGTCAATTTGTCATCATTTCATCTTCCTGAGAAGTTATCTTAGGCTTCCTTAGAGTGCAGTAAAGGATAGCCTTGAGAATCTCAGGGAAGAACGGATTTCTTGCTCATACATATGATATATGCCTTACATGTCCGTCTTTGGTCCTCAGCCGGAACTACTTCTTTAGGGGGCTGTTGATATTGAGGCAAAGGCATAAAGGAAGGTGAAACTACACAGTGGTGGCTCTTAAAACATCTTGGTGGTGGCACACACTTTTAATCCTGGTGCTTGGGAGGCAGAGATGGGGAACTTTTGAGGTCAGCATGGTCTACAGAATGAGTTCCATGACAGCCAGGGCTACACAGAGAAACCTGTCTGGGAAAAAAATCTTCCAGGAAACAAGCTTCTACATATGTTCCACAAGTGATACATGTTTCTATTCGTATTGATGTCATTGTCAGTCTAGAGCAGAGGAGCCATCTCCAAAGGGTCGGCTGGGGAATGATGAAAACAAGGGCCAACCAACACTCTACCCTGGGGTTTGCGGTGGACTCAGAGGTTCACCAAACTCTAAGAATGAATACACACCAAGACTACCGTGGGCCCCTGACTTAAAGAAGATGACAGCTTTCCCCTTACAGTGAGGGCTACATCTGACCTGGGTCCCAGGTGTGAGAACCTATTAGCAGCAGACATTTTGGGCAAATAGATCCACTCACCAGACAGAACTGCAAACTCATGGGTTATATAAAGAATACAAAACAATATTTAGCTATATTGGGAAAACTACTGGTTCTTTTGTTTGTTTTCAAGCATAGTTCTTTTGTAACCATTGAAGCCTAGGGATGAGCTGGAGTTGAAGTACTCCCTGGACAAAGATGGAGATGGTTTCTGCTCTTCTTTTTTTTTAAAACTCTTTGCTTCTTATCAGAAAACCCTGTGTGTGTGTGTGTGTGTGTGTGTGTGTGTTATGTTGTACATATATGTATGCACATGCAGGTAGAGACCAGAGGCTAAGGTCGGGTGTTATTCCTCAGCCATCTACTACTGTCTTGGAAACAAAGGCTCTCATTGGCCTACACTTTTTGCAAAGTAGGCTAGGCTAGCTAGTCAGTGAACCCCAGGGACCTGCATGTGACTGCCTGCTCTCTTACCAGCACTGGGATCATGTGTGACATGCTCCTCCATTTATGTGAGTCCTGGAGATCTGGGTACAGTCCTCACACTGGCAAGGTAAGTGCTTTGCCAGCCAAAGCGTCTTCCAAATCCAACATTTCATTTTGATGTTTTAACTTGCAAGTGTAGTGCAGTTTTACTGAAGAAAAATTTGAAGCAAACAGGAAAGTGGTTATCAGCCAAGAGTCACAACAGTGAATTCTTTTTATCAATTGCTAATTACGTTTTTGCATAACATAGTGCAATTATTCTCATTCATGTTGTCTGCTTCTTGAATAATGAGACTTGATTATCATACTGAAGTATATTCAAATGATAGTGTGAAGTGATTTGATCAGTTCCACCAATTGCATGTTAGCCAATTCTTGCTGGCTTTAATTTCACTTATTTTTCTGTCTTTGGCCCAAGATTTTAAGGATTCCTCTCACTGCTTTCAATTTTTAACTTACACGAGGATCTCTTACTTTGTTACAAAGTTCAGTAGGCTGCAACCATGTCTAAGAGATATGAATATAAAATTAAAATCAAATGTTAGTTTCTAAGTTAACAAAGGACATTTTGCTCAGCTGTCATTTATGGAATAAATGAACAGAGCTTGATTTTAACAGCATGACTTTGTAAAACAGAGAAAAATGATGTCTTAAAAGCAGACAGTACTGGGTATGCTGGGAAGACTGGGAGGGGCTATGTGCTGAGCACAGGGTATGATGGGAAAATTGAGAGGGGCTGTGTAATGAGCACACTATATGATGGAAAGTTTGGGAGGGGCTATATAATGAGACCCTATGTTAGTTACGTTTCTATTGCTGTGGTACGACACCATGACCAAGGCTTTCTTTCAGAAGAGTTTATTTGGGGATTACAGTGTCAGAGGGTTAGAGTCCGTGACCTTCATCATAAGGATCATGGCAGCTGGCAAGCAGGCATGGCTCTGCAACATAAGCTGGGAACTCACACTGAAACACAAATGCCAGGCAGAGAGAATTAACTGGGAATGGTGTGAACTTTTGAAACCCCAAAGGCCACCATCTCTATGCCTCCTTTAACAAGGTCCCACCTCCTAATCACTCCTAAAGAATTCCACCAACTGGGGACCAAATACTGTAATATATGAGTCTATGGGGACATTCTCATTCAAACCACCAGACCCTCTCAAGAAAAACAACACAGTAAAAGGCGAAGATAAAGGATAGTGAAAGCAGTTCTCAAACCTGCATAGTTTTGATACCAACATCTAAGATAGATAGTAGGTTAGGACTAACCAGTATTTGCTTTGTTATAAATACAACTAACACAACTATTAATTTTACTTAATTATAAAGCCTCATTGATTGGGGCTGGAGAGATGATTCAGTGGTTAGGAGCACTGACTGCTCTTCTAGAGGATCCAGGTTTAATTCTCAGTACCCACATGGCAGTTCACAACTGTCTGTTAACTCCAGTTCCAGGGAATCTGACACCCTCACACAGACAGGCATATGCAGGCAAAACACCAATGCACATAAAACCTCATTGAAGACTATTGCTTCCCAAGCCCTAAATCAGCACGAGTAGATAAAAACCAACCACACTTGGTGGAAGGAATTGTGTGGCTAGGGCAAAAAGTCACCCATATTCATGGAGCCGTCAAGGTCCAGAACTACATATAATGTGTTTCTATTTGTATGAGAGAAATTATTCTCTGTGGAAAAGCATGTGCTTGCATGCATTCGTGTGTGCGTGTGTGTGTGTGTGTACATGTGCACATGGGTGTGTGCACGAATGTGTGCATGCTCATATAATTATGCTTGTGCGGAGAACCTATTTGTAAAGTTAAAGTCAACTTTGTAGTAGTTGACTCTAAAACAGAAAAATAAAAGCTTGGGATTGAGTGAGAGTCTTGTTTCAAAATGCTTTTTATTTTTATTTTGAACTTTTAAGTCATATGTGCATGTAGAGTTTTAAAACTGCCAGTTTTTTTTTTTTTTTTTGGTTTTTCGAGACAGGGTTTCTCTGTGGCTTTGGAGGCTGTCCTGGAACTAGCTCTTGTAGACCAGGCTGGCCTCGAACTCACAGAGATCCGCCTGCCTCTGCCTCCCGAGTGCTGGGAGTAAAGGCGTGCGCCACCAACGCCCAGCAAACTGTCAGGTTTTTTAATGGTAGTTCTGTATCAAAATATCTTCAGAAAGTTATAAGAAATGAATTTTCCTTTCCTGTTGTAATCCTGTCAGCAACACCCCATCCCAGCAGCGTTGTAATTGAGCTGTGTGTATTGTGAGCTCTAGGTGGGGCACCTCAGGTCTAAGGCTCCAGGGAGGCCAAAAGTAGCTAGATGGAATTACTCTGATTAATGACTGCTTCTTAAGACATTTACAAAAAATAAACACGGACATAAAGGTCATGGTACTGAGCCGGCCTCATGGGAGTTGCTAAAAATGTAATGTCTAAATCATAGAATATAGGAATCATTCAAAGTATTTACTTTTTAAACATTAATCTATTAGAAATTCAAGAATGAATTTAATATAAACTAATTTAGTTATATAAGGTGACAATGTTGCAACTATTTATAATTTTAATTAAAAGTTTTTTACTTTATTTTTTGTGTATATGGGTAGCTTATATATATATGTATGTCCACCTTGTGCATGCAGTGCCTGAGGAGGCCAGAAGAGGGTGCTGCATTCCCTGGAATTGGAGTAACAGAAGATTGTGAGCCACCATACAGGTGCTTGGCAGCTAACCAGGATCCTCTGGAAGAGCAACCAATGCCCTTAGCAGCTACTCCATCTCTCCAGCCCTCTTTGTAACCTTTAAGCTTTAAAAAAATGTTTCACAAATTATAGTAATCATGTTATAATTAATAGACTGTACGTTTTTGTTGTGTATAGATCTTCTGCAGATATTAAAACCCAAACTACTTGTTTTTGGTAAAGTGTCACTAGGTAGCCCAGGGTGGGCTTGAACTCATGACTTTTTTGCCTTCACTTCTCAAGAATCAGAGGAGAGGTTAGGCTGGCTACTCTTCCAAAGGTCCTGAGTTCAATTCCCAGCAACCACATGATGGCTTACAACCACCTGTAATGATTTCTGGCGCCCTCTTCTGGCATGCAGGCATATATGCAGGCAGAACACCATATACATAATAACTAAATCTTAAAAAAAAATTAAAAGGGTGTGCTATCGCAACACACCTGATTTTATTTTTAAAGTACATCCGTCATATTTCTAGGTGTGCGTCACTACTGAAAGGAGAAAGGAATTGAGATGTCCTTTTGCTTCTCCTGAATCACTGCTCTGTTAATAATCATCACATTATGAAAATGGTCAAAGTGAGAGAAGAGGGATTTGTATATTATTCTGTGTGCTGCTGTCTTAGTTTAGAATCCCCTACCACATTTAGAGAGAGGGCTGTATGGGCTGAGCTAACCTGATGGTTCTACTCTTGCAGGCCAGAGAGCGTCATGTCCTCCTTTGAAGATGCTGACACAGAAGAGACCGTGACTTGTCTCCAGATGACTGTTTATCATCCTGGCCAGCTGCAAAGTGGAATATTTAAATCAATAAGGTTTTGCAACAAAGAGAAATTTCCTTCTATTGAAGAGGTGAAATTTGGACGGAATTCCAACATCTGTCGGTATACTTTTCAGGACAAACAGGTTTCCCGAGTTCAGTTTGCTTTACAGCCATTTAAACAGTTCAACAGCTCTGTTCTCTCATTTGAAATTAAGAACATGAGTAAGAAGACCAGTTTGATGGTGGACAATCAGGAGCTTGGCTACCTCAATAAAATGGACTTGCCTTACAAGTGCCTGCTCAGGTTTGGAGAGTATCAGTTTCTCTTGGAGAAGGAAGATGGAGAGTCAGTGGAATCTTTTGAGACTCAATTTATCTTGTCTCCAAGACCACTCTTGCAAGAAAACAACTGGCCAGCACAGAGTCCTATACCTGAGGACGGGGGTTATTCGTCCTATTTTACCCATAGGACTTCTCCCACAGAAATGGATGAAAATGAATTGTGAACAGAGTCCAAGCAGAGAAACATGAAGAATGAGGATATGTGTGTCGACCAGTGAGAGGCGTTCTATTTCCTAAGAATCTATGAGAGTAGTGTAGCACAGATACCTACACACTGACTTTGGATTTAGTAATAGCATTTGGAAGTCTATAGATGGTGTTTGTCATCAACTTAGTCAGCTAAGCATTCTGGATCTAAAAAGAATTATGTGTACACTTGTGAGGGTTAGTGTATAAAACATGTCTTCTGTGTAATGTTATTCTTGTTCCTTTTTCTGATTGGTGGCATGCCCATGCTTTGTTTTGGTAACAGCCATCTCCTGGTTTGGTCACATCATTTCATAGCAGCATTTGGTTTTCAGGTTCAAAGTTAGGGCAGATTGTTCGCCAGTGTCTGTGGCATGCTAATACTTGTAGAGCCACAGTCCTGGGATGAGCTCTTGTGTACCATCAGCGTCGTTGTGGTTTTATTTTGGAAAGACTTGAGAAATAACACCTTGATATTCTTGGTATGGAATTCTAATGTTTATTCTAGGATGGCAATTTTACTTTTCTGGATATAGAATCTACAATTAACATTTAAAAAACATTGAAATTAGAATTATATTATTACAAAATTGAAAACGTCCGGGCAGTGGCAGCACAAACCTTTAATCCTAGCATTTAGGAGGCAGAGGCAGACGGATCTCCCAGACAACCTGGACTACAGAGTGAGTTCCAGGACAGCCAGGTATACACAGAGAAACCCTGTCTCAAAAAACAAAACAAAACAAAAACAAAAATAAACATAAAGCCACCAGTAACAACAAAAACCAAAAATTCAAAATGAATTTTATCTATCTTACATGATTTAAAAATTGCAGAGATCAAAACTTTTAACAGACTCTTTGCATATGATAAAGTCAGAGCTCAGTCCCCTCATCGATTCTCTGAAACTTCCTAAAGAAGGCAAATGTTCATGCTTAGAATATGCTATAGAAGTAAGTATATGTGAATGTTTTTATGTCTAAACTTTTAGTCTCACAATGCTTAGAAGTTGTGTTTATTTAATTGATTCTCATTCAATTCATTTTAGGTAGATTAAGACGAATGTTGCTGGGCGTTGGTGGCGCACGCCTTTAATCCCAGCACTCGGGAGGCAGAGGCAGGCGGATCTCTGTGAGTTCGAGACCAGCCAGGACTACCAAGCGAGTTCCAGGACAGGCTCCAAAGCCACAGAGAAACCCTGTCTCGAAAAACCAAAAAAAAAAAAAAAAAAAAAAAAAAAAGACGAATGTTAGCGAATGCTATGTAAAAGAGAATGGTAGCCATCAATTTAAGGTAAATTCTAACATTCCTAGAAAGTAAGGCTCCCTGCTTAATTACCTTGGTAAATGAAATTTCGTGCTATAGCAGGTGAGACGGGGGGGGGGGGGAACTAACCATATATATTTTGTTTGTTTTTGAGACAGAATCTTGCTTTGATGCTCAGGCTGGCCTTGAAGTCATGATTCTCCTGCTTCAGCCACCTAAATGCTGTTCTTATAGGTGTGGCCCCCGTGCTTAGCTTAGTGTGACTATATTTCTGCAACAACCCTTCAAAACTATTTCTAATAAACTTTTCAGCCTGGTGCCATGTGAATGTCATGCACAGTGTACCTCTTGATGTAGATCGACAGTTACCCTTAGACTGTGAAACAGGACCTCAGCTGTTGCCCCAGCCCAAGGACTGTTCCTATGGGCACTGCTTTCTGTTGCTGTACTATGTGCCCAACTGACTATTTCTGGTCTAGTTCTCCTGCTGACTCCTGTGGTAAGCAAAAAATGACATAAAGGTGACTGTGCACTAACTGCCAGAGCCTGTGAGTGTGTCATGACATAGCAAAGACAAATGAATGATGTGTATAGAATTAAGGTTGCTCATTAGTTGATCTTAAATTAAAAGAGATGATCCTGGATTATCCCAGACCCAGTTAATAACAGGGTCCTTAAAAGCAGATAAAAGATACCAGAATGATCAAATGTGACAAGGATTTGGCCTGCTGGGAAGGGTTTCACACTTGGAGGAAGGAGACCATGAACCAAGGAACACAGCAACATCTTGAAACCAGAGAATGTGCATAGAGATATACATTCTGAAAAGACAGAGAAACCTCAGCAAGAATCTAAATCCTAGGGAATTTTTAGTCCATAGACAGCTGCCTTTGACTTCTGACCCACAGAACTTTAAGATGATAGAGCTTTGTTGCAAATTATAGCAATTTATTATAGCAGCAAAGAGCAAACGTATTCCCTGTGATGTAAGGTTTTTGTCTTAGTTGCTGTTCTATTGCTGTGAAGAGACACGGTGACCAAGGCTACTTATAAAAGGAAACATTTATTTGGGGGTTTGCTTACAGTTTCAGAGGGTGAGCTCATGACCATCATGGTAGGGAGTGTGACAGCAAGCAGGCAGATATGGTTTATACCCTGGGCCAAAGGTAGAGAGAGGGAGACTGGGCCTGACTTCAGCTTTTGAAACCTCAAACCCAGCGACGCATCTCCTCCAACAAGGCAACACGGCTAGTCCTTCTGAAACAGTCCACGAAACAGGAACAAGACACTCAAATATAAAGGTCTATGGAGGCCATTCTCTTTCAAGCCACTATAGTTACGGACTGGCATTTCTTGCCACTGTCAAGCAATGGCCTTCGTTATGCTATCTAGCTTTAGGTATACCTTCTTCTCTGGTGGAAATTGGTGGACTAGACCACCTAGCTTGTTGGAAGTGGTACAAAGGAGGGGAGGTTGCCAGGGCAAAGGGTGGAAACAAGGGGAAGGGGAGATGAGTGGGATCAGGACACATGGGGTGAAATCCACCAAGAATCAAAAGTTAAAAGAAAAAGGAGAAAAAAGTGCTTGCAAGTGTGAAGAGTCTGCTGGCAAAGGCTACCTAGGAATGCAATAGGTGCGTCTAATAGTGTTCTGATAACCAATGACGAAACCTCTTCTGAGCTATTCAGGCGTGGAGTGGGTTATTAAAGGGAAACTGAAGTAGCTCGCAGAATGAAAGGAAGAAATGCTGCAGGCTCGGGGTGAGATGGTGCTGCCCAACCTCATTCCTTGGTGCATATGACCACCAGGAACTCCCAAGGTTTGCATAGATTAATCACACACAGAACCTGACCTCCCTAGTTCCGTTCTTCGAAGGGGTAAGAATCAGCTCCCTGAAGGTAACACAATCACATTCTAAAACAGCTACCCCTGCGGATGACCATGTAGAAAGAAAAAGAATTTTCTAATGACTACAGCAAAATTACCACCATAGAGTAGAGATGATGACAAAAGGAATGTAGTGTTTGACGCAGCAAACTGTGGAACTAAGTGAAAAAATTGCCCACAGGTCTTAAAGACCTGCCTCCGGGAGTTGGTATCAGGCTTTTAAAGTGGAGTGTGAGCTAGTCAGTGCCACAGTGTTCTTTTCTTAGATCTGTAGCTTCGTGGCATGGCCATGCAATCAATCTACTGGGGAAGCAAACTCATACGGCGTATGATTTTTAATTTTTTTATCTTGAGAAATTATGTGTTTAAGTTTGTCTGTGTGTGCTAGAGGTCCAGGTGGTTGTGAGCTGCCCAATGTGAGTGCTTAGAACCAAACTCAGGTCCTCTGCAAAGCCCCTTCTACCTGCTGAGTCGTCTCTCCAGGCCCTGGGATGGGTTACATTATTTTTATTGGATTGATTTATGTAGGTGAAGACCTACACACATGAATGGGTGGAGGTCAAAGGACGACTTCTGAGGGTCAGTTATGTCCTTCCACATACGATTTTTACAGCTACTTTCTAGAAAATTCCATTTCTTTACCCAACCCCTTTACTGACAGACAGAAGTTCTAGCATGAATAACAGTATGTGTTTCAGTGGCTGTAGGATGGGGTGTGCTCACTGGAGCTTTACTTTAAAAGATAATTGATACATGTAGATAATATCTATGTGTTAAGACAACTGCCCATAACCTTGCTGTCAGGAGATACTGTTCATAGTTTGAATAGCTGTTAGACCTGAGAATCTTGAGAAAAGACCAGATCCACGAATGTCCAACTGAAGCAAGCTGTGTTTTGGGATGTACCTGGGACTGGCCAGCAGGCTGTCTTACCTGTAAGTCAGGATTTTAGAGAGTAGCCCCTTCCAGACTCTTGAGGTCCTGTCTATAGGAGAAAAAAGGTATTCACAGGGGCAGGGGGAGTGATGGTTACACATTGTTAGGAAAATACAATGAAAGGAAAGGAGCAAGGGTTAGGATAAGCATTATATGGATAGACTCGAAATTAAGTGTAAGCTGGAGAACATGTTTTGTAGTTTACATCAAGATCTAAGAAACAAGAACTTATTTTAACTTTTATTTATTTTTTGGAGGGGGATTTTGGTTACTGGAGACAGGGTCCAACTGTGTAGCCCTGGCTGTCCTGGAACTCACTTTGTAGACCAGGCTGGCCTCAATCTCAGAGAGGTTCACCTGCCTTTGCCTCCTAAGTGCCAGGATTAAGGTGTGTGCCACCGCTGCCTGGCTGGAACTTATTCTTAATTACAAATAGAAACCTTAACTTCCAAGGACTTAACACAGGACAAACAGGAGCTTATTCTTCAACTACAGACAGAAACCCTACCCTGTACAGGACAGACCGGAACTTACTCTTAACTGTCTTAACGGCAAAGATATATTTTTCCTGTTTTGGTCTCCTATTAAATTACAAGGTATAGTGTTCCTGTTTCTCTTGTTTCGGTCTCAGATAGCAGCTATTTCTACCTTTTCTAATGGCTCCTTTGGGTTGGTTTGTTGGTTTTCACTTAGTAGTCCTATAGTTCTGTGATAATTGTTAACGCAGTAGGTGTGGTTACCACTTTGTGGTATGGACTGTGACTGAGATCATCAGCCTACATTGCAGATGGTGACTAAGGAGAGCCATGGAAACAATGGGTGGGATTCGAGGAGCTTCCAGTTGGTCTGCATTGCTCCAGAGTCCAGTCACTCATGACTCTGCTGTTCTGTCTCTAGGAACATATGATTTGCCTGTAGCACACTTGTTAAGTCTTGGGTTGGCAGTCAGGAGCTATGGGGAAGCAAATGGAAACAATGGTTTCAGCTCTGTTGCTGGTTTCATTCTCTTCTTGATGGAAGGCCGCCAAGGAACCAGAGGTGAGTATTTGACCTTGCCACCAGTGTCAGTGACATCACTGCTCCAAAGTTCAAATCATGGTAAAACAGAACACAGAAAACTTCTGAGGTTAGACAGTTGCAAGCT